CGTAAGATTTTTAAAAAACAGCCACTGAACCAGTTTTACCAAACATTCATCAAACCTGTTGTTCAAAAAGGCTTTGTAATATATGGGTCGATCTCCAAATCAACCATTGGCAAGATTGATCTCAAGATCAACAGATTAACTAGAGTCTTTATTTTCAAGAAAAAATTCGAACCAGTGCATTTATTGCGGGAAAAAAAATTTAATATAAAAGAGCTTGATTCATACAAACGACTAAAAATTCTTTGTTATATTAATCGCAATGAATTTCAATCTGTAACTCTCAGCAAAATAATATCATCCGACCAAATTTTCACATTTAGTTTTTAAAATTTCTAAATAATTAAATTTTCAGATTTCTAGTTTTAAAAAGGTTTTCATTTTATAGGATTGTAACAAAATTTACGGTGATATAACACTACCATTCCAATTGAAACCTTTTCTTTTTTTTGCGCTCAGAGGCGTCTGAAAACAGGCAGAATTTGTCTAATGACGATTCCCCAGACTGGGTTCTTTCAAGTGGTCATTTATATTGATCATTGTTGGAAACCTTTTTATTATTATGATTACTATGACTATTATTAGTATTATGACTTTTATTCTTATCGTGATTTGGTTTTTAAATCATAAATGGACTGCTTCTGCTGTAGAAAATCTAATGGGATTGATCATATTCCGCAAAGGCGAAATTCTTTGTTTCCGAACATTTCTAAACTATTTCAAAAAAAACGGGACCAGGAACGGATCTAGGATTTTAATGAGGGGGGATTTTTTTGAAAAATTTTGAAATTTTTGTCAAGTTTTAATGTTAAATTGACCAAATTGATCAGAACACTATAAAGACCCTATTTTGCTCAGGGTGGATTTAGAGTGTTCCCCTATTTGTACTATTTTGAGATTTCCATTTTTGGTGACGGACCCTAAAATTTCTCTAAAGTCGCATTCGGAGCCAACTTAAACATTTACTAAAAGTGAGGGGGGAGCACGCGCAAAAAAACTCATTTTTTTTGGTCCAATTTTTTTTAAAAGTGCACAAAAACGCTTTTTTGGCCTGGGTTTTCAAACTTTTGCTTGCGGCACCGAAAATTTAATTAAAACGGTAATTTTAGTGCTTTGGGGAACTCTGAAATTCGGAAAATCAATTTATTCGACCTAAAAAAACTCGCCCCAATCGGGAAAATCTGATCTTCTCGAGAAAAACCGAGATCCGCCCCTAATTTTGTCTAAAAATTTTGCTCCGCAGGCAAATTTTTGAAAAACAGGTAAAAAAATCAATTTTTTGGTACTTTTTAATATATGTTTTTAATATAATGTTTTTTCTTTCCTTCAAAAGTAGTAGTTCCCCTTCGCTCTTAGAAATTTCAGGGTTGTTCGGCTAAAATGGGACCCTTTGGTTGTTGAGGGGGTCGAATCTCTAGATCCGCCCCTGGAAAGGACCCATTTTTTCATAATAGCTTTTTATAGGGACAAAACTGTTATACTCGTATGACAACCCTGTTGTGTTCTGCAGGTGATGACCCCTAGTCGGTGTTGTGTGAAAGAACCGATGTCAGTGTGGTTGACCATCTTGATCCTCGTCATTCTGGCACTCATTCTGGCAGGCTGCTGCTTCCTCTGCTGTTTCATTCGACCCAAACTCTGCAACTAGAAGACTGAAAAGATCGAATTTTTCAAAAAGTGTACTCGGACTTTTAAAATGTACGAAACTAGCATTTTGAACACAAGTGGAGTGGTTCCGAACATGAAGTTATCAGTAGCGCAATTTCGCCGCTTAAAAGTGTTTTTATATTGGCGTTGACTTTTCAAGCGCGGACGGCCAACAAAATTAAGGCGTAAAGCGTAAAATAATACAAAAAGTTGGACTGGCTGGTAAAACTTCGAAAAGTATGATTTTTTTGGTTAACAACCAACCCCCCTCTGAAACCCTCCCCCCCAAGTTGCAAAATGTCTTTTGTTGCGAACTGTCTTTTGTTGCGAGTTGAAAACGGACAATTTGGGATAATGTCGCTTCTCAGGCTTCACAATGAAAAATAATTATGTGAACAAAACATTGTACTTTTCTGATTATAAACCTGAAGACAATTTACTATCTATTACCTATTAATATTACGTGTGATTAATACTAGCGACCCCACATCATTCAATTACAATTAAGACCATTTATCCCCGAGGGAAAGGACGAACACAAGAGCTGTACAGCTCATCACGGCGAACCGCTGTTGTGCCCTTGTTTAAGAACTACATGCTATTTTTTTGGTTATTTTTCTGGGCTGGGTAATGCTGCCTTACCCTCAAGCCACGAGCACGGATCATGGTGGGCCTCTTCGATTGAGAGGCGGAGACGTAACCACTTCACCACCGTCTTCACGGGACCATATAGACTGTAGCTGCCCTGAAGATACTCACCAGTGACCTAGGAGGAGGGGGAGGGGGATAGAACAACAACCCCTTTGGACCAATTATTCAGGTGCATTTGGATGTACGTCACACAGGCTTTAATTTTCAACAGAGCCCCCCTTCTTTTTATCCCCTTTTCAGTTTTGCATGCACCATAAAAAATCATTCATAAATATTTTATCTGCACATTATTGCCAAACATTTATCAGCCAAACATTCCCACCCCCTCCTCCCCGCATGACTCAATCAGTCCATCCTAATCATCCCCCACCCCACCTAGATATGCTCCCAAACACTAAAACCCAAACATGGCAGCCCCTTCCCCTCTTCAACAAGGGTACCAATACACACCAACCAATCAGCAGCACCTGGACAGTATCCAGGGCCCTACAATAACTACCCGCCGAACCCAAATTCTTACTCGCCATCAGTGGGTCAGTCTTATAACCAACCTCATGTATCCGGAAAGCAAAGAAAGCTCTCTGGCTCAGATGATAACTGCAAAAAGACTCAGAAATTAAAGTTCAGCAAAAAATTAATGTTCTGCATGTGAATGACAATTAAATTTTTTTGAACGCATTTTTCTTAAATTACATTTAGTTCACAGCTGAAATTAAATTGATAAAAAGTAAACAAAACTAGTTTTAACTCGACAGAGATATTTATGCTGTGAGCGCATTTTATAAAAGTGCCAAAATAGTTTTAACTGGATTATGAATGGTCTTTTAGAATATCTAACTTTACTACTTTTTTTTAATCAGCCAAGTAGAAAGCCAGATTTTTAGTCGTTCTTGACAATATTTGAACATTCGTACAGTAAAAGAAAAAGATAAATAGAGCGCAGCTCTTGGTATCAGTGGTTATACATAAGCTTTACGAGCGCATTCAAAAAAGGGGTAACTAATTTGTTTAATAGACACCACGCAAATGGCATCTTTCAAAACATCAACTGATGATGTTAATTTCCAACTTCAAAATACTGAATCTAACCTAAACATCAAAGAAGAAGGGCAGATTTCCGGTAACAAACGAGAAGATAATGTTTACGATGAGTACCTTCAACAAAATGAGCAGACTTTCGGGAACAAAGATGTTTACGAAGAGCCGGCGATTACTCAACGCAGCGGCGGACAAAAAGAAGACAAAGAGCTGCAACCGAATAATTGGCCAGTGAAATGTTTCATGGCTATGATGATCGCAATGGTGATTGCCGTTGTTGTCTTGGCAGTAAGTACAATTTCAAACTATGGAATTAAAGTGGGAATTAATCAAGTTGGTTGAAATTTCGAGCGACCGTTTTTTACAGATTCATGACGACAAATTTGAACATTATTGAACAGTGTTCCTCAAACACACTTTGATCATTTTCAATTAAGGGCTTCTATGTATTTTGGACCAATAAGACAACATCCCGACACCATAAAGATACGACATCGTGACAGCGGTCCACAACGTTTTCGTGTACAAAGAAATTCCCGTAGTTTTTGATAAGTTACAATACAATTGATAAGAAAGAGTTGTGCTGAGGTATGTTATTTCTATCCAAATGACTCTATCTGAGAATGCATAGTAGTAGTGGTAAACCAGTACTAACCGAAAAAAATAAGAAAGAAAAAGCTGAACTGAAGTATTTAGAACAAAAAACACAGTAGCTACAGTTGAGCAACGTTTTAGCCCATTTTTCTTAAGACGCTTTTGGCGCAAAGATGTAGTTTAACAAAATTTTTCGAAAAGCTCGATTTTTGGCCTGTTTTTCTGAAACTTGCCTGCGAAGCAGAAAGTTTGCTCGAATAGGGACTTTATAATCATTGGTGAGAGATTAGAAAATCAGTTTAATCTACCTTAGATTTTGAATCCAGTGGCGTGCGCAGAAAGTTTTCTAGGTGAAAGGGGTGTTTTCAAAAAAAACGGCAATTTTCGTGGACGTTTTTTTTTGGTCGACCACTTTGATTTTCTAAGCTCCCGTAAAGTAGTTTAAGGAACCAATTTTTTCAAAAATATTCAGCGCCGCAGGCAAATTTTTCAAAATACAGGCCAAAAAGGAGTTTTTAGGAACTTTTTTGAAAATTTTGACCAAAAAACTGCGTTTTGTTGGCGCGCGCTCTCCCCCTCAAAATTAAGAATGTTGGCGCCAAAAGCGATGAATGAAAACAAGCAACAGTATTAAATCTAATAGTTTTTAATGAAAACTTATCATTTTGTCAAACTGTTTCTGACTGAAAAAAAAAACAAAACTTGTGAGGCATTTGATAGAGGATAGTTCAAATTTTATGTTATTTTTTCTTAAACTGCATCGGAAGCCCAAATCAAATATGTTTCTTTCGTAATTTATTCTCTGTAATGATGTTTTTTTTTCAATTATATAGGCATTGGTTGTCGTTTTATTGTTCCTGACAATTTCTTTATCAAATGAAACAAAAAAGGTCAAGGCACAGCACACTGGCGCCAATCAAGGAGTGAATGATGACAACAGCGTTCGTATTACGGAAAATCTAGCTCGACTTGCAGACGGTTTGACAAACATTTCCATCGAAATTCAGAGAGTTGATAGTGATTTGGCCTATCACTCAAACAATGTTGCGAGTGATTTAGCATATATATCAAGCAGAATCGACAGGGTAGAGAACAGTTTGGACAACATTTCAGTAAGTTAATTAGCAAAAACTTTTCAAATGTATCATTTACGAAACTTTGCCATTGAACATCATAAAAGAAATGAAACCGAAAAATATTTTGCATCCCTGCAATTACAAAACAAAAAAAGCAAATTTAGAAACTAGCTGTTCCTTTTTTTTTTAGAAATGTGTCCTGTTTTGACATTGAATCTTAAAACTAATCTTTTTATATGTTCCGTGAGAGCGAGATTTGAGGCTGCTTAAGAGGATGATAAAAAGCAAAGTTCATTTGATCTATTGAAACAAAGCAGGGGCGGATCTAGGACATTTTCCAGGGGGTTGGCGGATTTTCAAAAAAATGTCGAAAGTTTTATCGACGATTTTTTTTCAGGTTGACTAAATTGTTTTCTGAACTGTCCCAAAACACAGAAAAAACCCTGTTTTGGACAATTTTTTTTTGCGCCGCAAGCATCATCTTGAAAAAATAGGCCAAAAAAAGTTTACAGGCACTTTTGAAAAATTTTAATCAAAAATTTGAGTTGCTTGGCGCGCGCTTCCCGTACTATGTTCTTTTAGTAAATATTGGCAACAAAGGCGCCGTAGAAAAACTTTCTTTAAATTACTTTTGGCTTCCGTCAGCCATAATGTAGTTTCACAGAAAAGTACAAAAAGGGACAGTTTGGGTCTGCAGTTTGGGTCTGCAGGATTACGGTAATGTCTATCTATAATACGGAAGAGAGTTGATAGAGCAACAGTAATAAATCTATTAACTTTTGATGAAAAATTATCATTTTATCTAATTGTTTTTCTTTGAAGGAAACAAAATTTGTGAGGCATTCGATAGAGAATAGATCAATTTTTGTGTTATTTTGTCTTAAGCTGCATGAGAAGCCAAATTCAAATAATTTTCATTTCGTAATTACCATCTGTAATGATGTTTTTTTTCAATTATATAGGCATTGGTTGTCGTTCTAGCACTCTGACGCCAATCAAGGAGTGAATGAAGACAACAGCGTTCGTGTTACGGAAAATCTCACTCGACTTGCAGACGGTTTGACAAACATTTCCATCGAAATTCAGAGAGTTGATAGTGATTTGGCCTATCATTCAAGCAATGTTGCGAGTGATTTGGCAAAAATTTCAAGCAGAATCGACAGGGTAGAAAACAGTTTGGGCAAAATTCCAGTAAGTTAATTATCAAAAACTTTTCAAATGTATCATTTCCGAAACTTTGCTATTGAAGATCATAAAGAAATTAGACCGAAAAATATTTTGCATCCTTGCAATTACAAAACAAAAAAAATGGCCAATAACAGAGATTGAAAAAAAATATTTATATTGCAGATGTTACAAAGAATTACCATGAAAATTTTAGGAAAAAATGAGCGCACACTATAAAAACTTTCAAAATGAAGTAAGCAAAGTTCAAGTATTTGGAGCAAAAAAAAAGCCATATAATAGTTTTATTTAAAGGTCGCCACCCCTTAAATTATAAGAAAAAAGTTATATAAACATTTTTATTTCTAAGCTGAATCATCTATACTCAAAAATGTTGCCTATCAAGGGTGCGCAGGCCGAAGGAAAGCAATTTTATCTAAGTTAGCTTAAAACAGTTCCTCTTTCCGGCTTTTTGCTGCGTTCTTCGAGAAAATTAAACAAGACTGCTCGTATCAGGGCGAAGCCCTGAATGTTCCGACTGCCTTTTAAGGTTTATAGAGCAGTAATAACATTAAAAAATTAAATGGAATAAAATAAAATGAATTTTCTTTTTAGTTTAAATTTTTAAATGAAAATCATCCCCCCACACGCCATATAAAGTACGAAAGGATAGATTTCGTTCCTTGGAACAAACCAATTATGGCAAATAAGCTTCTTTCAACCAATTTGGAACGGTTTCTAAGACAGATTAATTCTCCACTTACGCGTTAATAGCGCGAAATACACCGCGCGTTAGTTGTCCCAAATTGGCCAAAATGGCAATTTTTAAACCCCCATAACGTTACTAAAAAGGATCACTGGTGAATTATCTTTTCAAATTTGAGCCCAGGGCAACAATACCTTTCAATGATGAAAAAAAATCCGTCAAAAATGGCTAGTTAAAAAGTCGAAATTTGTCTGGAGAAAAAAAAAACCCACCCCTAGCACAAATATTCCGTTACTTTCGTATCGAAAGTCGGATCAATTAAACAAGGCTGCTTATATCAAAGCATACCCCTGAAGATTGGACTATCTTTTAAGGTCGATGGAATAGCGTTGTACGGTTAATAAATAGAACACAAAAAAAAACTTTATATTTATTTTGAAAATTTAATGTATTCTTTAAACTTTTTAACTTTTATTTTTGAAAACATTTTTAATTTTATAAAATGTATTTTTATTTTTTGAAAAGTAACCTCCTCATTCTAGCTATATAATTTTTTTTACATAAATCAAAGTATTGACAACATCAAATAGCAGGGTCAACTCAATTCTGAACAGTTTCAAAGACGCACTTACGATTCCGCATCACAAAATAAACTGCACGCTAATGGTTGCAAACTGGCTAAATTGGCAATCGGTAAACGATCATAAAACAAAAAAAAACTTTCAAAGATATTTTTCAAATTTTGAGCTCAAAACAGGAATCTCTTTGTTCAGGTATTATAAAATTACCAAAACTGCTAGTTGAAAAGTCGAATTTGGTTCGGATGAAAAATCACCCCGGGCAAATTAATTCCATCATTTTCTTTGATTTATTAAGTTGAGCTGTATGACGCTTAAGTCGATGATGGGCTCAATTTGAATTCAGTAGAGCGCCCGTTTTTGATTTTAGGTTTTAAAACACGATTCGGTAATGATACACTGCAACTACTTTTTGCAGTTTAAAAATTTTACTTTCTAGAGATATTTTTATTTTTTGATATATAAAAAAACTGCATTCAGCTATGGATACACTAAAAAAACTACATGTTTTGTTTTCAAATAAAAGCTGGTGAAATCAGTATGATTAAATTATAACGCTTTGTTGTCCGGTTGTGATGAAGACTGGTATGTTCAATTCGTAGTCAACATGAAACTCAACTGACAATTTATACTTTTCACCCCCTAAATTTAAACTTGTCGATTTTCAAAGTTGTCTTAGGTTTTAGTATGGCTTAATGCGTGATATTACAATCCAATGCTACAAAAACCATTTTTTCTAGAATAGTTGGTTTGTTTGCCATGCCAAATTTCATTGGATAATGGCAAGTTAAAAATGGTCTACCAGAACTGAATTTCAAAATTGAGGACAAGCGCTCGCACCTTGTTTCCATGTCTATTTGCAGAATTCAAATATAGAAAAAAAAACCAAAACGAAGCAATTTTATCTATCAAGCCTCACATTGGTTTTTTTGATATTTTTGTTTCTCCACGAAAACGCCATAAACATTCAAACAAATCTTTTTGTTATAGTCATTTCGTTTGCATTTAATGTAGTTTATTAATTTGTTCTACCCTCTGGAGATCAGTCCTGCCTTTTTTAGTAAATTTAATCCAGTTTCGCAAAAGAGTTTTTAAATTCGTTACTGTCATTTAGGAGAGATATATAAACAAAAAATACCATTTTCTAAAAAAAAACTTTTTGTTCAACAATTTTGAATAAATTTGCTCAATCGGTAAACAGTTTTTACCCTTTTTCACGCAAAAACAATGTCAACAAATTTAATGAAGCGTCCAATTTAGTTGCTCAAGGTCAAAATGTTTGCTAAGAACTATTTAATTGCTTTATAATAAGAACAACCAAAAAAGCAACCTATTTCGAAAAATGGATCCAATTATATCAAAAACATTGCAAGAACGGCAAAAAATTTGTTTAAATTGGACCGCAGTAAATATCATTTATTTCGTAAAAAATTTAGAAGCTAGCTGTTCCGTTTTTTCAGAAATGTGCCCTATTTTGACCCATGAATTTTAAACTTAAACTTTTTTATGTTAAATGACAGCGAGATTTGAGGCTGCTTAAGGGGATGATAAACTTCATTTAATCTATTGAAACAAAGCAGAGGCGCATCTAGGACATTTTCCAGGGGGTTGGCGGATTTTCAAAAAAAATGTCGAAAGTTTTATCGACCATTGTTTTTTCAGGTTGACTAAATTGTTTTCTAAGCTCTCGCAAAACACAGAAAAAACCCTCTGTTGGAAATTTTTTTTGCGCCGCAAGCAACATCTTGAAAAATTGGCAAAAAAGTTTTCAGGCATTTGTGAAAATTTTTAATCAAAATTTTGAGTTGCTTGGCGCACGCTTACCCCTCAAATTAGTAAATATTGGCGCCAAAGGCGCCGTAGAAAAACTTACTTTAGATTACTTTTAGGATTCCGTCAGCCATAATGTAGTTTCACAAAATAGTACAAAAAGGGACAGTTTGGGCCTGTAGGATTACAGTAATGTTTATCTATAACAAAAAGGAGTCATTTCTGTTATAAGCCTTACTTTTAATTTCTATGTATTTTGATAAATGTATTTTAAGGACTGATCCAATCTGAACGGCTGAAATTACTCACAGATCAATGAAAAATGGAATCGATTTTTAACTCTACGCTCAGAATAAATGTTCTTGTCATTTCGGGTCTTATAACAGAAAAGCCTCAGAAAATCAATGAGGACATTATTATGGTCTTACTGAGGTAGCATTTCAGTTGGGACCGGAGATAGTTTTACAGAGGCGTGAACGATTCGACATTCTTTTTGACCGAACTTTTGAGGAGTATGAATCAGGTTTTGGAGACTTTTCTGGAGAAGGAGATTTGTGGCTGGGTTTGAAAAGATTGCACATATTGACACAACACGGAAGATGGAACCTGCGAGTTTCAATGTGCAGTTTCTCCAACAATACACTTTTTTGGAGCGAATGGGCAGGTAAACTGAACAAGCAGTCCATCATCAAACAGGTTTTGATCAACAGTTGTTAAAAAACTGTTTAAACAAGGTAATCAAGTTGTTGAAAAGAACGGTTCGAAACAAAAACCAAATCAACTCACTCGGGCTGACAAGAAATGGTTTGCAATCTTTTTCAATTAGATAATAAAGCAAAGACTGCAGAAGAATTGTTTTAAATCAACATAAAATCGATTTATTTTGATCCAAAAAACAAATACAAAAACCATTTTTATTCGAATTTAATTTGATATATGTTCAATTTTTGCTAAATTTTTTGGAAATTTGTTTTTACACGGATGTATCAATCGCGCTTTATCCACTTTTTGATACTCAATCACCACAGATTTTGTTCAGATAATTTTCGGATTTTTAAACCATCAAACAAAAGTTAAAATTTAATGTAAGCTTTTCAATTGAGTTTTCGTGATGATTGACATGAAAAAAAAACTTTATTTAAAACTTAAATGATAACTTGCTGAACCAGTATATTTTTTTCTAAATTGATATTTTTTCTCTTTATCTTCAATTGCATGATAAAATAATGCCTAGAGCGTTGATAATGAAGTGATGTTTGAAAAAACTTCGCACAAGTCTCTTTTTACCTCAAGGAAAACTTTAGATTTGCAAGCTTTTAAGGAGACAAAAAAATCACTCGAGTGGCTCTGGCTCTCTGAAGCTCTTTGTTAAGTGAAAAAATTTTGCCTAGTTTCAACAAAACATACTTAAGCCCAGTATTGTTGCAATTTTGATAGAATTTGCCATCTTACGGAAATCTTTTTGGTTCGACCTTTTGGGCGATAAATTGATTGTGTTTTCTATCGTAAAAGTCAAAGTTGCTTTTGAAAACTTGCTTGGATTCTCTCACGTTTAATCGAAGTCTTCGTTTTTGTGACTCATTCTTTTTTGTAAAGATTTAATTGATAGATTTTCATAGCGTCGAGAATCATCGCAAAGTAACAGTTAAATCGCCCGATAATTAGCACTAATTGGCCATATTATCAATTTCTAAATCTCGATTTTTCTAAAAATTGATTTTCGGACAACATTTGCTTTCAATTGGTCAAAATTGGACAAAATAGCGGTTAAAACGTCCATTTTATTGGCCAAAAATTGACTCATTAAAAAACCAAACGAAAAATTTTCATTTCACTTGAAAGTCGGAAAAATAATTGTGGGTGCGTAAGCCCAGTTTTAATGAGGATGTTATCGGTAATTAACAAAAAAGCAATCTTCAAACCCAAAAATTTGTTTGAAAAAACTATAAAAGGATTAATTTTCATGCAATAGATTTGTTGTTGTTGTTGTTGTTGTTGTTGTTGTTGTTGTTGTTGTTGTTGTAGTGGATTTACAGCACAAGGCTGATGAGTGTTGCTCCCTTTCCGTTTTTATTAGAAGATTGTCCACTTATTTCTGCATTGGTTGCAATCGCACGCAAGTTGCCAAGTGCAAATATTGTTTTCGTTGTACTTTTCATCCATGAAATTCCACATCAGTTGTAGAATTCGGTTCTTGAGTCCAGTTTTGTTTGTGAAATCAACGTGTTTGTCAATTCTGTTTGCAATTCGACTGGTATTCTCCTCGCGCATTCTCTGTTCTGATTTTGGCACTCTTGAAGATGTCCTTAGTTCTGAGATTTGTCTGCGGGCACTGTGACAGATGTGGAAACACATCAGTTCGTCCATCAAGGCTAGAGAGTAGCAGTAGGTCCGTGAGTTGTAAGTACATTGGTAGTGGGAGCACATTTAGCGCTCGCAGCTGGTTAACATAGTATGTATCCGGGCTTGTTACTGTCCAATTTATGACTTTCTTTTGGAAGCGCTCCAGGCGTACAAGATCTCCTCGGCTCAGATTTGTACATGAAAAACCATATATCAGAATTGGAATAAGAAGAGACTTATATAGGCCTAATTTGACCAAAGGTAGTGTTTTATAAGCTATATTACGTCTAATCAAGTAAAATGATTTGTTAGCTTTGGTCAGTCTCATATCAATATGTTTATTCCAGGATAATTTATAGTCCACTATAAGTCCAAGATCTTTCGCTTCTGTAGAGGATTCAAGTTTTGATCCGGAAAGCTGCAGATCGTGTGCTCTGCCTCTGAACACCAGTTGTGAGCATTTATCGAGAGCCAGAGCCATCTTGTTCTCCTTGACCCAGTCATCAATGGACTTCAAGTCCTGTTGCACTATGATTAGGTCTGTGTTGACTGTCAGAAGTTTCAGATTGTCAGCGTATATGTACGGGTCAGAGAATTTCAGTCGGTCCGGGAGGTCATTGATGAAAATGCAGAACAGAAGTGGGCCCAGGAAGGATCCCTGTGGGACACAACTCGTCACATCTAGAGTCACTGAAGAAGTTTTCACAACTTTTACATATTGTTTTCGTCCATTTAGATAATCACAAAGAATTTCCAGCAGGCATCCTCCTACACCAATATTTGCGGTCTTTTTCAGCAATTCAAGATGCGGCACCTTGTCAAAAGCTTTTGAGAAGTCCATATAATAAGCGACAACGTCATCTGTTCTGTTGGGTTTTCGTCTAGTGCTCTTTAAATTTTACTCAGGAAGGATAGCATATTCGTGGCCACTGATTTCCCTTTGACAAAACCATGTTGATGTTTTGAAAGGACACGTTCAAAAAGCGAGTAGAGAGGTCCGTAGATGCATTTCTCTAAGATTTTGCTGTCTATGTTGAGTACTGAAATTGGACGCCAATTTTCCACATTACGTCTGTCTCCTTTTTTGAATATTGGGGAGATCGCTGCCGTCTTCCAGCAACTAGGTATTTTTCTCAATCTCTTGATGTTCTTGAAAATTACCTGCAAGGCATTTGCCATGTTGGTGGCTGTTTGTAGGTAGAAAATTGGAGGCAGGCCGTTGGGTCCTCTAGACTTGGTAACGTCAATGGTCATCAAGATTTCTGTTATAGTTGTATGAGATATGCTGAAATTTGTGATCTGTGGATTGTCACATTCAACGTCATTAATGTTAAACTTTATTTTTTGCGAGAATACTGAGTGAAAAAATTCATTGAGCAGATTCACCTTTTCTTCCAGGCTGGAAACAGTGGTGTTATCGCTTATCATTATTTTTGGCAAGGATGCAGATTTGTTGAGACTTTTCAGGTGCTTGTAAAGGATATCTGTGTTTCTTGTACTCAGAAGTTTGTTCTGATAGTTTAATCGATCATTTTCACTGGACTGGATTACTACATTTTCCATTAGTGCAACTTGACGTTTGCGGTAGCTTGTTGGTTTCGAAATGAGTAGTTTTTTTTGGGTGTTAAGCTTTTTAATGAGGTTTGATGTGCTTTGGGTTATCCATGATGGTAACTGCTGTCGATGCGCAGTTCTTCGATGCACATAGATTTCTAACAAATTTTCAAAGTAATCATTAGCTCTTGGCAGGTTTTATCTATATTTGTGTAGCATATTGCATTGAAAATTTTATCAGCCTTAGCGTTGCTTATACCTTCGAAGTCAGCTTTACCGAAGCTTCTATATTTGTCAATGACCGGTTTGGCTTCTTGGTGTTCTATTTCGACGTTGAGGTTTATTGATTGATGATCTGAACAGTCTTATTGTTTATCGAAGAATTCATCCCTTTGAGCATGTACAAGACAATTTCTATGGAAGGCTACATCCAACAAGTTTTTTCCGCATGTAGAGAAATTAACTGTTTGTCTGAAGAGTTTTGTGTCAAAGGCATCAACTACCTCCTGTTCCTCTTCACTGGCACTTGTTAGGGACGGCCAATTTGTTTCTGGGAAGTTGATGTCACCACAAACGATAAGGGATGACGAGGTTGGAAAGGCATTCAATATTTTGTTAAAATCTTCAGACAAGTACCTGTAGGGACTTGATTTAGGGGGGTTATAAAAGACACAGAATATCAACTCCTGGCCGGATATATCAATTTTGCATGCAACACAGCTGTCAGGCAGATCTACAGTAAGTATTTCACATGCGAATGTATTCTTTACAGCAATGAGACTGCCGCCGTGTTTGTTTGTATCATTCACTCTTTCTCTGTCTGATCTATAGATATTGTAATCATGTAGCATTAATTCAGAGGAATCTATTTGATTATTTAGCCAGGTTTCACAAATGCAGATTATACTGTAATTACCAGATGTAACAGCAGTAGAGAGTTTGGCTCGACGTTCGAAGTTTATGAGACTTCTGGCATTTATTTGAAGTACGCTTAGAAAGGCCCCTAGTCACGGGCCGCTTTCATTGAGCTTTACTTTTACGTTGTCATTGAACAACTCCAAGTTTCTTATCCGTAACTTCTCTTTTGGAACGCCTTCAGTTATAAGTTCACGTTGCTTTTTGAGGATTTGATTTTCTTTAGCTGCGTCCTCCTTGGTCGGGGCAGGTGAGAGAAAAACTTTCCTTTCAGACAATTGGGTCCTTTTTTCTAAACATTTCGCCAGAATAAATCTTGCCTCATGATGTTTGGCCACGGTCAACAGAAGGGTTCTGGGTTTCGTTCGCTTTTCATCAAACTTTCCCAGGCGTTTCATTTCAACGATGTTTGGTTGTACATCAACAATCTCTAGATTCTTCTTGACTTCCTCATTTGTTGGGACAAGGTTCTCAGCTTTCGATTCCTGGGGATCTTCGGCAATACCTTGTATTCGGATGCATTGATTGATGTTGTGATTTCTTCGATTTTGCTGTTCTTTTGGTACAGCATTCTTGTTGTTTCCTGTCAGAACAGTACTATATGTCTTTTCCACTTTCTCACAGGTGTTCCTCAGTGCTTCGTCAACTTTTTTCTCAACGATTTGAGTTAATCTGTTTTCCGTGTTAAGAAGTTTTTCATTTATGTCTATTTCTTCCAGCTTTTCGGTCAGTTTGCTTTGTGTGAAGTTCCGAATGAACCGATCACGTACATTGTTTTCATGGCATGACGAACATAGCAGCATTGCCAGCGTTTCTAAATCTTTAATGCCATTCACTGCAACTGGTGTTAAGCCTGTGCAGCTAGTGGTCAGATGAAGGTTAGCGCAACAAGCTACGCATTGATAAACAGGATCGTTCGGACCAATTTTCTGCTTACATGACTTACAGTTTTTAGTCATGGTATTCCTTACCTGGACTCTGAGTCAGAGACTCGAGGAGTACACAAGATTTGGAAGTATTAAGAATTGCCTTGGACTCTGAGTCAGAGACTCGAGGAGTACACGAGATTTGGAAGTATTAAGAATTGCCTTGGACTCTGAGTCAGAGGACTCAAGGAGTACACAAGATTTGGAAAGATGGACTTACAGTTATGCACTTAATATTTCCCTTGGACTCTGAGTCAGGGACTCGAGGAGTACACAAGGTTTGAAACGACCGACTTTTTGATGAAGTTGATCGCCTTTTTGTCGTAGAAGATGTTGAGGAAATTGAGACTAAGTCCAGAGTACGCGTAGACCTCTTTCCTCACTTCTCTATTTTCGTCTTCGTCTAAAGAATCAATTGTTTGGGCTAGGGAGCTGGCTCCAACAATTTGCAACATCAGGTGATGATAATATTTGAGACAAGAGGCAACCACGGCTACCTCGAAATTCAATACTTGTCTGAAACTATTTAATTAAACTGATTTAATTTGCAAAAAGTCTTTCAGACTCTTCTCACCCCAGGTTGACCTCCATAGACCCAAAAAGTTGATCATACAATTCCGAAAACTAAATTTTTGGAAAAAACTAGCCATACAAATTTCATCTTGTTTGCTATAATGGTGTCATTGATTTTTCAACAAATTTCATTTAAAAAAAACCCAAAATTATATATATATATATTTCAATTGCAGACGTAGTCCGCTTAACGTAGTCCTTGTTACGGAAAACTTTTCTCAAAAACTTTGAAAACGCTTATTTTTTTTGTATGACATTTTTATGTATGCTTTGAGAGCAACGCCTGATTAATAAAAGTTAATTTCTTAAAACAATTTTTGAAATTGTTGCCGAGTTTTAAAAGTTTGATATTGTCATCATATTATATATTTCAACTTCAAATATAATACAACTTCAAGACAATTCAGGTAGTTTCTAATGCATTAAATTGCAAGACGGTCAAACCTGTGGTGTACTTAATTTTGAGTAAACCAATGTTTTTGTCACTTGTGTTGGTTACGAGCACATATCAAAAAACTTGAAAAAAAAATAAGTTAAAAAAATCTAAATTCCTAATTTATGGAAAAAAGCTAGCCATATTTTTCCATATAAGAAATATCTGAAAGCGGTGGGACAAAGCCATACCAAGCTCACATAATTTGATCTTTCTTTGTAAGTCGGGACAAAAAATGAACAAAAAGACAATGGAAAAAAAATTAGTTTTTTGGAAAAGGTTTTAACAAAAAACCTCTGTCAGGGAAAACTCATTTTTGTGAAGCAGGCTGATTTTTCCTCCAAGCAATTTATCATTTTTTAACGAGCATTTGCGATAAAAACTTCTCACAGTTTCAAAGATATTGATGTCTTGTTGATGTCTTAACAGATATTGATGTCTTATATAAAAAAAAACCTTGTATCTTTCTTCTCAATTCAAAAGATTTTCAGTTGAGGACAGTGGCGGATCTAGGATTTTCTCGCGGGCGTTTTTTCTAAAAATTTCTACTGTTTTTCTGTTACGGCCAAATTTTCTGCGCTGCCGGCAAAATTAAAAAAAAAAACAGGCCAAAAAAAGCGTTCTTTTGGACATTTTTGGATGAAAACTATGACCAAAAAATCGCGTTTTTTGGCACGAGCTCCCCACTCAATATGAGTATATTTTTGCGCCGAATGCGACTTTAGAAATTTCAGAGGTTCCGTCACCAAAAATGGATATTTCAAAATAGTACGAGGAAAAGATCCTCTCTCCCCAAGATTAATTTGTCACTTTGTTCTTGACATTCGAATATAAATTAGAAGAAGCCTTCAGATACTTTAAAGGCGAGCCAGAAAGTACCGAGGTTGCCTTATAGGATCGTTCTTGTTTTGATGTCTTGCATCAAAGCTCATCTGTGATTTTTCGGGTCAAAATAACCTTGGCGTAATTCGAAGAGGATAAGTTTGCTCTGTTTTAGACTTCAAGATCCAACATATCTTTTACAACATATCTTTTGGCACAATGGTGGCAAAGAGTGAGAATATGCGCAACACCACTGGTACTAATGATGGCCTTGCTTATCACAACGGAAGGGCTTTCTCAACGACTGACAGAGATCAAGACGAATTTGATGGCGGAAACTGTGCTGCAGCGACTGGGGGGGGAGGCGGTTGGTGGTATAATAGTTGTATCGTTTTGAATCTGAACGGAAAAATGACCACTTCAGGATTTTTTAACAGTCACCAAATGTTTTGGGGTGATGGTACTCTTGCCGGAAATATGAAGCTTTCATCCAGTGAGATGAGAATGTTTCGTGTAGGCTGAATGGAGGACAAACTAAGACAAGAGAAGATATCTACAGAAGAACATGAACTAACAACAAGAGATTGTTTGGAACTAATTTCAGACATAAACTATTCTAGAATAACCAAAAAATTTTCAATTTTTTTTTCATGAAATTAACAAATCGAATTATAGATTACTCACTGAAATCTTGAGACTTATAATAAGATCATTGATCTACTTAAGCTATTTGCTGTAGGCAATTTATTTCAAAATGAAGTTGAATGAGCAAAGCTTTCAGTAGATCGAAATTTATTCCCGATAAAGTATATCATTCAATTTGGTTTTTTTCCGACTTTCGAAGAAAACGGAATATTTATGCTCGGTGTGGTTTTTTTATACAGTCAATTTTCACCGATCGAAATAATAATTTTGAACAAATTTTATTCTTCCGCCGTCAAAGATAATGACTTCCTGAGTTCAAATTTAAAAAGATGTTTCACATCCAACTATTTTTGACTAAGTCCTGGGGGTTTGAAAATTGCCAAACTTGCCATGTTCTGGACTAAGTTATGCCTGCTTTGAAAAGTTCGTTCATTATGCTGAGATTAAAACGCGAATTACTTATGCGTAGCGAATTTTGCCACTCAACAAAATCTTTCCAAATTGATTTGAGGCTAGCTACTTGGTGGTCGTATTAATTTCGTAAGACCAAAATGTTACACTTTGATTTTGTCCAAAATGTAAAGGTTTTCAAAAATTTGTTGTTACAAAAACAATTTGATATGAATTAAGGGAAAGTCTGAACATTCAGGGCTTTGACCTGCTATACGAGCAGTCTTTTTACGTTTAATCATTGACAATAAAGCAATTCTTATTCACATTAGACAAAGATTGATAGCAAAATTATTGATATCAAGTTATTGATGGCAAAAGTCGAAAGTTTAATTTACTGTAAATTAATAAAACACTACCGTCTCAAAAAGAAGGGTTACAAAACGGTTCCTGTAAGTTATGAGAAAAAAAAACAATAACGCTACAGGCTGAGATGGTGAACCGTATCGACTGTAGAAGTGAAACTTGGTTGACTCTGTTCAACATTTGTCATCTGGGTCTTATTTTGGTTGAGTTTGGCGAACACTGATCAACTTTGCGTGAGTATCATAATCATTATGAGTATCATATTCATTAATTACCTTGTATTAAGTTTGAAAATTTAAGGGCTTGAAATCAGTTTAGATCACAATTTCTTGTTTTTCGTCAAATTATTAAACTCATTTCTTCAAAAAAGGTTTGTTCTAATAAAAATCACCATGTTTTTGAATCGTAATTTAATTATCTGAGCCATTTTTTTTTCAACTGACTCGGGATTCTGCTTTTTTCTTCTAAAAAAAGATCTATTTTTCTTTCGTGTCGTGGTGAATTTTTGTGTCCAAGTCAATTTAAAACTGACCAAATACTGATTTTTTGATTGTTGATTATTTTTATTTTTCGCGTTATAGAAAGCAAAAAACAGACACCAGTTGATTCCTGCATCAATTCTATCGTTCTTTCGAACGGAATTGAGCGACCCTGATTGGCGCATGTGTGGTCTCTGTCTACTGTATTCGACCTCGAACCTCTGATAAGTCGACTCCGTCAACTGTGATTGACACTGATCAACTCATGTGCCGACTCTGTCGACTGTGATTGACACTGATAGGCTCATGTGTTGACACAGTCGACTGGAGTTGACCTTGAATCTCTCATGTGTCAGCTCTGTCGACTAAACTCGACCCTGATATGCTCATTTGTCAACTCTGTTGGAAGCAATTGACCATGTTTGGACAATGGTCAACGCTCTTGACTGCAATCGACCTTAAATCTCTCATGTGTCAACTCTGTCGACTGGAATTGACAAAGATCAGCTCATGTGGCGACTCTGTCGATTGTGATCGATACTGATTGGTACAAGTAAGGAATTTGATGACTGTGATTGAACTTGATTGGCTTAAGTATTTTTTTATCGACTGTGATCGACACTGTTGACCCTATTGGTCGCGATCGGCTCATGTGTCGACTCTGTCGTCTGTTATTGAATTGATTGGCTTATGGGACAATTTTGTCCACTGTGATCAATCCTGATTGACACGTATGTCAAATTTTTCGATTGTGATCGAACTTGACCTGTGCGGGTCATAAGTCGACTGCGATTGAACTTGAATATCTCATTTGTCGACTCTGTCTAGTGTGATCGACCCTGACTGGCTCATGTGTGATCTCTTTTGACTGTAATTGACCTTGAATTGCTCATGTAACAACCCGGTCGACTGAACGCGACCCTGATATGCTCATTTTTCGACTCTGTTGAAAGAAATTGGCCCTGCTTGGCCCATGATCAACGCTCTTGACTGCACTCGACTTTAGATCTCTCATGTGCCGACTCTGTCGAATGTGATCGACACTGATCAGCTCATGTGGCGACTCTGTCGACTGTTCTCGAACGTGATTGACTAATGTTTCGACTCTGTCGACTGTGATCGATCCTGATTGGCACAAGTAACGAATTTGTTGACTGTGATTAAACTTGATTGGCTTATGTGTTAATTTTATCGATTGTGATCGAATCTGGAATGACCGTAATGGCCCCTGATCGGCTCATGTGTCGACTTTGTCGTCTGTTATCGATCTGATTGGCTCATTGACTTTTTGGTCGACTGTGATCGATCCTGATTGGCACATTTGTCAAATTTGTCGACTCTGTTCAAACTTGATTGTCTCGTGTGTCGGTTTTTTCGATTGTGATCGAACTTATGCGGCTCATGTGTTGACTCTGTTGACTGAGATCGACATTGATCCTCTCATTTGTCGACCCTGTCTACTGTGATCGACTTTACGGGCTCATGTGTCGACACTGTCGACTGGATTTATCCTCGAATCTCTCATATGTCAACTATGTCGACTAAATTCGACTCTAATTTGCTAATTTGTTGACACTGATGTAAGAAATTGACCCTGTTAGGCCCATGGTCAACACTTTTGATTGCAATCGACATTAAATCTCTCATGTGTCCACTCTGTCGACTGTGATCGACGCTGATCAGCTCATGTGGCAACTGTTATAGAAAGTCGACTGTTATCGAAAGTGATTGGCTCATGTTCCGACTCTGTCGACTGTTATCAATCCTGATTTGCACAAGTAACAAATTTGTTGACTGCAAATGAATTTGATTGGCTTATGTGTTGATTTTATAGGCTGTGATCGATCCTGGGTCGACACTGTTGACCGTAATGGACCTTGATCGGTTCGTGTTTCGACTCTGTCGTCGGTTATCGAATTGATTGGCTCATGTGACAATTTTGTCGACTGTGATTGATCCTTATTGGCACATATGTCGAATTTGTCGACTGTGGCCGCACTTGAATGTCTCTTGTATAGATTTTGAGGATTGTGATTGACCTTGATCCTCTCATTTGTCAAATCTGTATACTGTGATCGGCACTGGTCGGCTCATCTGTCGACGCTGTCGACCGCAATCGACCTTTGAATCTCTCATGTGTCAAGTCTGTCGACTGTGATTGGATCTTGTACCAACTTTGTCGAGCATGATCGTCCCTCTTCTGCTCATATGTCGACAATGACGACTGCGTTGGACCCTGATTCTCTGATTTGTCAACTCGGTCGACTGTGTTCAACACTGATCGTCTCATGTACTGACTCTGACGACAGTTATTGAACGTGATTGGCTCATATATCAAATTTGTCGACTGTGATTGAACTTGATTGGCTTGAGTGTTGATTTTGTCGACTATGATCGACCCTGTTTGGCTCATCTGTCGACCGCGAACGACCCTGATTCTTTCATGTGTCCACTCTACTGAGTGTGATTGACCCTGTTTGGCTCTTGTGTTGACTTTGTCGTCTGTTATTGACACTGATCGGCTCTTGTGCTGACTCTGTCGTCTGTTATCGAACGTGATTGGCTCATGTATCGAAAAAGTCGACTGTGATTGAACTTGATTGGCTTGAGTGTTGATTTTGTCGACTGTGATCGACCCTGTTCGGCTCATCTGTCGACCACGAACGACCCTGATTATTTCATGTGTCGACTCTACTGAGTGTGACTGACCCTGTTTGGCTCATGTGTTGACTCGGTCGACTGCCATCGACCTTCAATCTCTCATGTGTTTACTCTGTCGACTTTTATCGACACCATTTAGCTCATGTGCCGACTCTTTCGACTGTTATTGAACGTGGTTGATTCATGTGTCGACACTGATATGCTCATTTGACCTGATATCGAACCTGATATGCTCATTTGTCGACTGTGTTGAAAAAAATTGACCATGTTTTGCCCATGGTCAACGCTGTTGACTGCAATAGACCTTGAATCTCTCATATTTCAAACTGTCGATTGTGATCGACACTGATCGTCTCATGTGCTGACTCTGTCGACTGCTATCGAACGTGATTGGCTCATGTATCGAAAAAGTCGACTGTGATTGAATTTGATTGGCTTGAGTGTTGATTTTGTCGACTGTGATCGACCCTGTTCGGCTCATCTGTCGACCGCGAACGACCCTGAATATTTCATGTGTCGACTCTACTGAGTGTGACTGACCCTGTTTGGCTCATGTGTTGACTCTGTCGACTGCCATCGACCTTCAATCTCTCATGTGTTTACTCTGTCGACTTTTATCGACACCATTTAGCTCATGTGCCGACTCTTTCGACTGTTATTGAACGTGGTTGATTCATGTGTCGACACTGATATGCTCATTTGACCTGATATCGAACCTGATATGCTCATTTGTCGACTGTGTTGAAAAAAATTGACCATGTTTTGCCCATGGTCAACGCTGTTGACTGCAATAGACCTTGAATCTCTCATATTTCAAACTGTCGATTGTGATCGACACTGATCGTCTCATGTGCTGACTCTGTCGACTGCTATCGAGCGTGATTGGCTCAGGTATCGAAATTGTCGACTGTGATTGAACTTGATTGGCTTAAGTGTTGATTTTGTCGACTGTGATCGACCCTGTTTGGCTAATCGCTCGACTTCGATCGACCATGATTATCTCATGTGGCGACTCTACTGAGAGTGATTGACCCTGTTTGGCTCATGTGTTGACTCTATCGACTGCCGTCGACCTTGAATCTCTCATGCGGTGACTCTGTCGACTGTGGTCGACACTGATCAGTTCATGTGCCGACTCTGTCGACTGATATCGAAGGTGGTTGATTGATGTATCGACACTGTCGACAGTGATTGATCTCGATTGACTCAAGTATCGATTTTGTCGACTGTGATTGAACATGATTGTCTGAAGTGTTGATTTTATCGATTGTGATCGAGCTTGTTCGGCTCTGTTGATTGCGACTGACCTTGATTTTTTCATGTGTCGACTCTGTCAACTGTGATCGACACTGATCAGCTCAAGTGCTGACTCTTTTGACTGTTATCGAACGTGATTGGCTCATGTGTCATATTTGTTGACTGTCGACTGTTATCGAACGTGATTGGCTGATGTGTCAAGTTTGTTGAATGTGATTGACCATATTTGGTTAATTTTTCAAATGTGTCGACTGTGATTGACACTGATTGGCTCTTTTGTCAACTGTGTCGACTTTCATCGAAACTGGTTGGCTCCTATATCGATTATTTTAACTGAAATCGCCCATGATTTGCTCTTGTGTCGACTCAGATGAATGTAATTGAACCTGATTGGCCCAAATTTCGACTCTGTCGACTGTTATCGAACCTCATTGGCCCTTGTGTCAGTTTTGTCGTTTGTGATTGACCCTTTTCGGCTCATGTGTCGACTATGTTGACTCCCATCGACCTCGATATTCTCATTTGTCGAATATGTTGACTAAGATTGACACTGATCGGCTCATGTGTGGACTCTGTCGACCATTATCGAACGCAATTTGGTCTTGTGTCGCCTTTGTCGACTTAGATCAACCCTATTTGGTTCATGTGTCGACCCTGTAAACTGCGATCGACCCTGAATTTCTCATAGACCGACTCTGCTGACTGAAATGCTCACCTGTTGACTTTGTTGAAAGAAATTGCCCCTGATCGGCTCTTGTGTCGAATCTGTTGATTGTGATTGACATTGATCGGCTCATTTGTCGATTGTTATCGAACTTTTTTGCCTCTTGTGTCAATTGTGTCTTTTGTGACTGACACTGAACGGCTCTATTGTCGAATCTGGCGACTGTTATGAAACCTGATTGGCTCATGTGTCGACTTTGTCGAATGTAACCGATCCTGATTGGCACATGTGTCAAATTTGGTGACTGTGATGAATTTGATTGTCTAATGTGTCGATTATGTCGATTGTCACTGACACTAATCGGCTCATGCATTAGTTGCCTCTGTTGACTGCGATCGACCTTGATTCTCTCATGTGTGGACTCTGTTGAATAAGATTGACACTGATTGACCCATGTGCGGACTCTGTCGACTGTGATTGAACTCCAATGGCTTAACTGTTGATGTTATCGACTGTGATCAACCCTGTTTGGCAATGTGTCGACTCAGTCGACTGCGATTGACCCTGATTCTCTCATGTGTCGGTTCTGTTGACCGAGATCGACCTTTTGTCTCCCATTTGATTGACATTGGTTCATATCTCGACTCTGTCGACTGAAATCGCAACTGGTATTCTCATGTGTTGCCACTGTCGAAAAAATACGACCCTGATTGGCTTGTGTCGACTCTGTTGACTCTAATCGGCCCTGATCGGCCAATATTTTCTACTTTGTCTGTTTTTATCGAACCTGATTGGCTCTTGATTTGACAGTGATTGAACTTGATTGGCTCATTTGTCAGTTTTTTCAATTGTGATTTACCCTATTCGGCTCATATTTCGACTCTGTTGACAGCGATCGTCATTGATCCTCTCATTTGTCTACTCTGTCTCATTGGCTCATGTGCGGACTCTGACGACTGTGATCGATCCTGATTCTCGCGTGTGTCGGTTGTTGATTGATATCGAACTGAAACCTCCCATTTGATCGACACAGATTGACTCATATGTCATTTCTGGCGACTGAAATCGCACCTGGTATGCTCAAAAGTTGACTCTGTCGAGAGAAAATGACCCTGATTGCCTCTTGTGTCGACTCACTTGACTGTTATCGAACCTGATTGGCCCATGTGTCGACTCTCTCGACTGTTATCGAGTCTCATAGGCTCTTGTGTCAAATTTGTTGACTGTGATCGACTCTGTTTGGCTCATGAGTCGACTCTGTCGACTGTATTCAACACTGTTCATCTCATATCTGTCGACTCTGTCGACTGCTATCGAACTTGATTTGCTCTTACATCGACTTTGTCGACTGTTCAGCTCATCTCTCGACTCTGATTTTCTCATGTGTCAACTCTACTGCGTGTGATTGACCCTGTTCGGCTCATGTGTTGACTGTTTCGACTGCAATTGACCTTGAATATCTCATGCGTTGACTCTGTCAACTGTGATTGATACTGATCAGCTCATGTGCTGACTCTGTCCAATGAAAAAATACGACCCTGATTGGCTTGTGTCGACTCTGTTGACTCTAATCGGCCCTGATCGGCCAATGTTTTCTACTTTGTCTGTTTTTATCGAACCTGATTGGCTCTTGATTTGACAGTGATTGAACTTGATTGGCTCATTTGTCAGTTTTTTCAATTGTGATTTACCCTATTCGGCTCATATTTCGACTCTGTTGACAGCGATCGTCATTGATCCTATCATTTGTCTACTCTGTCTCATTGGCTCATGTGCGGACTCTGACGACTGTGATCGATCCTGATTCTCTCATGTGTCCGTTCTGTTGACCGAGATCTACCTTGATTCTCCCATTTTATCGACACTGATTGGCTCATATGTCGATTCTGTCGACTAAAATTGCTACTGGTATTCTCATGTGTTGACACTGTCAAAAAAATATGACCCTGATTGGCTCTTGTGTCGACTATGTTGACTCTAATCGACGCTGATCGGCCCATGTTTCTACTTTGTCTGTTGTTCTCGAACCTGATTGGCTCCTGATTTGACACTGATTGAACTTGATTGGCTCAGGTGTCAGTTTTTTCGACTGTGATTTACCCTATTTTGCTCATATGTCGACTCTGTTGACAGCGATCGACCTTGATCCCCTCATTTGTCGACTCTGTCTCATTGGTTCATGTGCGGACTCTGACGACTGTGATCGATCCTGATTCTCGCATGTGTCGGTTGTTGACTGAGATCGACCTTGATCCTCCCATTTGATCGGCACAGATTGGCTTTTTCTGTCGAATTAAAT